AAAAAAAAAAAAAAATGGCCTACCCGGTTTGGCTCAGCGGATAGAGCGTCGGCTGCGGACTCAAGGGTCCCAGGTTCGATTCCAGTCAAGGGCATGTACCTTAGTTGCGGGCACATCCCCAGTGTGGGGTGTGCAGGAGGCAGCTGATCGATGTTTCTAACTCTCTATCCCTCTCCCCTCTTCTCTGTAAAAAATCAATAAAATATATTTAATAAAAAAAAAAAAATGACAACGTGACAGAATTCCCAAAGCAACAGGAGTAGAGAAGCAATACATTCAGAATTCAGAATCTTACTAGAACAAGTCTGGGTCCTGCCCTCTTATATCTGACAGACCTTGGCTTGTGGGGTGAGGGAGGAAACGGGTGCAATCAGCAGGAAACCCCATCAACAACCAAGCCTGCAGGGTTCACCCCTGTGATTCCTGTATGTGTTCCCCCAGGGAGTGAGATGTTCTGGGGAGCACACTGTCCCAGGAGGTGCTCTGGGCCTCCATGGAACCCACTCTGGCTCCGGGTGACCTCTTGGGGAGATCTGCCCTCTCCTAGTCCTCGCTTACTGCCCAGTGGGCACCTCGACAGCCTCCCAGTGGTTGAAAAGATCTAAGCAGGGAGCTGGGTGCACGTGCTGCCACATGATCAAACCACCACCACGCAGTGCGCTCCGAGCGCAGGGCAATCGCACTCAGACACTTGAGATGTGGGGCTCCTGAAACTGAGAAGAGGCATCAACTCTGTGGGGCCCCCAGTGAGGTACCACTGAACTGGCCTATGGACAAACTGTGTTTTGTCGAGTGGAGAAAGGAGGACAGTTGGGGCAGAGGGTTACACACGTGGAGGCCCAGGGCCCTCGGTGAACCATCCAGCGCAGCTATCACATAGCACACGCTGTGGAGATGAGCATACGTGCTGATTTCACCTGTAAAACCTCACATCCCTACCACCCTGAGCACAAGGCGAACTTCAGTGTTTAACTACACAGACCACCAAGTGGATTCTATAGAGATGCTAGAGAGGCTGAAAGATGGTGTGCTCCTCACAAAGAAAGACTTGTGGTGTCTTACCTTAAACAGGCAGTCAATGGGAGTTGAAGTCATCTGAGACAGTAAGCTCATTCTCTGCTTAAGGAACAGTCTGTCACCAAATCCCTCAGACTCCTGCAGGAAAACCCAACAGTCTGTTTTATCCCACGATCCTCTCTCCCCCTTTCACTGAGCCAGAGAGCTGACCCTCATCAGGCTGGGAGAAGGGCTTCCTATCTGTTTCTCCAGGAAATGGTAGCTCTGATGACTGTTTTCCAGGGGGGGCTCTGGGAGAGTGGTGGCACACTGGCTGCGCGTGTGTGGAATGTGTCATCTCTAAGTGTGGAATGTTGCATGCACACACCATCCTCCTCCAGACGGAACCTGGACTGTGCTGGCCTCCTTCTCCTCTCAAACTTCTGTCCTACCTGCACAGCCCTATGCCTGCCATTTTATCTGCAGCCTACAGGCAGGAAAACCATCTGACAGATGGTCTATATTTCTCAACTGCAACCAGCAGGGGAGAGAGGAGTCTTAGTTTTTGAACATATTTATTAAAATAGCAAACAATAGGGCCATTGGCCCCAAGTCCAATAGGATACTGGGTTCTACCCCAATGAATAAAGTTATGATTACCTAGATACAAAAATCTAATAATGTACCCTTACTTTTTCTTTTTTATTGAATTTATTGCGGTGACATTGGCCAACAAAATTATATAGATTTCAGGTGTACAATTCTATAACACATCATCTGTATATGTATTGTGTGTTCACCACTTCAAGTCTCCTTCCTTCACCATTTATCCCCCCTATACCTTCTCCTACCTATCTTTATTTTATGAAATACTTTCTAGCAAGATACTTTAATAATGCTCAGTTGAGCACCTGCTACTAAACTGTCTAATGACAAATTAACTTCCTTAAAAAGAGTCTTTGTGGGTGGTAAAGGGAATTTTTTTTCCAGCCAGTTGCTGCCAGAATAACTCACCAACCCAGCTAAAACTTTAGAATAAGGCTCTCTAAGTTCTGACTTACAGGTCCAGCTAAGACAGAGCTGACAGCATCTCGAGGAGCGGACCATTTCTGGGGTCTGCTGTTAAGACTGCCCTCAGAAGGTTAACTTGGCAAACAAACAACAACACCTCAGCATTAGAGCCACTTTAGCTCCCAGCTGTTAGAAGCTATGAATGCTTTATCAGTTTTATTCAGTGATTCATAGCTGAGCAGCTTAGGGTCAGAGAAACATCAAAGACATTACTGTCGAGGTAAATTCGGTGTTCTTTCCTCAACTCTGGGGAACTATTCCAAGGGCAGCAATGAAGAGAGGCAAGTCCTCTAGGACTGAATCTTCAGGGAAAAATGAGCTGCCAGAAGAATAGCATGTGACAGAAGCCCTATTCGGGAAGGGGGTGAACACTACTTATTAGCAACCTGGTCAAGTGAGAAAAACCAGAGCCTGAAAAGCTAGAGCAGAGGGTACAGATGCTTCCAGGGTTCTCTCTCCTGGCTTTTCTGTCCACAAAAGTGAAACTAGAGCCATCCCACTAATGTTTTTTTTTAAAAAAGCTAAAAGTTGTGGGCCCTGGCCTGACAGTTCAGTTAGGGCACATACAAGAGTCAACCAATAAATGCATAGATAAATAATAAAATAAATAAATAATAAAATAAAGGCACCTGCTATACTGTACACCCAAAACTAATATAAAATAATATTGAATATCAACGGCAATAGAAAAATAAAGTCAGTCATGCTATGTCAAAAATAAAAATTACAAAAAAATAAAAGCTAAAAGTCTTTATTTAAGTCTTTATGCTTAAAGAATGTTTATGGTCATCAAGTATGATTCTATCTTTGGGAGAAAATTTCTGTGAAACTACATTATGTAAAGAGTCGAGAGTAAGACAGAATTCAATTTACTAATATTTGGTCTTTAATGATTTTCAGAAGCCTCGCCTACTGTGTGAAGATACTCTTGGGCTCTTTCCCCAGAAAACGAACGACACCAATACATAACAGTGGCCTTGAACACTCCTACAGGGAACTGCACTACTGCAAAGAACTCAGTTGGCAGCTCTGCAGAGGTGATATCACAGATGGAATCCCAACAATGGTATCACAAAAGACAGGAAGCCACAACACCTGCTCTGTCAATAAAGTGAAGAGCATCTCTCAGGCCTGACCCACTTAAGACCCAAGGGACGGGCTTCCCAGCAAGCCAGATGATGAACACCTGGTCCCATCATCTGATGGGACCAACCACCTCTCATCCAGAAAGGCAGAACCAGGTTCAGACACCCCTGACTAGAGGAGCACCCTGGGCTGTGTTCCACACCCCCTTGTCCATCCATGCAGAATGCACCCAAGAACCAGGAGACAAAGACACCCACATGCAGAGGCACTAGAAGAGCAACTAAGGGTTCCAGTATCACCTCACAATTCAAAAAGGAACTTTCGAATATTCCATTTGATTCTCATAACTACTGAGTAAGGGGTAAAATATACATTATCCCCAGTATAGACGAGAAGATGGACAGAGGCTTAGAGAGACAAACAGAAGTGCTGGACTCAAACCAACACCAGCACAGAAGGACTACTCCTCAAACACTCCCCAATCCCACTTGGAATCTTTTTTTCCCCCATCACCATTTATTCCCCTTATACTCTCTTCCACCTCCACCTGCACCTCCTCTTCCCTGTCGCTTGGAATATTTTCTGAAGTAGAAGTAGGCATGGAGTCCTGGCCAGTGTGGCTCAGTTGGTTGAGTGTCGTCCCATGCACTGAAGGGTTCAATTCCTGTTCAGGGCACATATCTAGGTTGTGGGTTTAATCCCTGGTTTGAATAGGAGGCAACCAATTAATGTTGCTCTCTTTCTCTCTCTCTCTCTCCCTCTCCCTTCCTCTCTCTGTAGAATCAATGAAAAAAACATATGCTCGGGTGAAGATTAAAAAAAAATTCAACTGACACTGTTTGGTCAGCCACTTTCTTACACCCTGGCCAAAGGCCTTCAAGTGTTGGCCTTCCTGCCCACATGGAAAATAAGAGATGGCCACAGTATAGTATGGGGGCAGGAAGGGGACAGGAGCACCTTCAAGAGGTGGATACCTCCTTCCAGGTGACAGGGCGCTTCTGGCCCCATCAAGGAGCATCAGGCAATTCCTCTGCAGGGTGGTAGAGCCAGGAAGGGAGTGACCTCTCAGACGGATGAGAGGGAAAGAACCAGAAGGGCAGGACCATCACAAAACCACTGCAGGCACCACAGGAAAAACACATTCCTAGACTGAGTTACTGCACTGAGCACAATACCCTCTAGGTCCATCCATGCTGTGGCAAATGGTAAGATTTCATTCTCTTTTATGGCTGAGTAATATTCCATTGTATATATACACCACAGCTTTTTTATCCACTTGTCTATTGATGGGCACAATACCATACGATTTCACTTATATGTAAAATCTAAAGAACAAAATAAGTGAACAAACAAAACTGAAACAGACTCATAGACACAGAGAACGGACTGGTGGTTTCCAGAGGGGAGAAGGGCTTGGGAGACTGGGTGAAAGAGGTGAAGGGACTGAGAAGTACAGATTGGTAGTTACAAAACAGCCTGGGGATGTAAAGTACAGCATAGAAAATGTAGTCAATAATACTGTAATAATTATGTGTGGTATCAGTTGGGTCCTGGAAAGATCGAGGGGAACACTATGTAAAGTATATGATTGTCTAAACACCATGATATCCATCGAAAACCAATACAAAATAAAATTGAAAGAAAAATAAAATATTTAACTATGATCACATAAAGTGAAAAAAACACACACCACATTTCTGGAACCTCACAGAAGACGATTTTCAAACTAAGAAATTTTACTTCGTTACTATGGGAGTGAGTGACAACTGATTCTGCAGACACCTGTGCATGTGGAGTGCACACATGGCCCTTCTAGAATGTGAGTGATTTCCCCCTAAATGAGAAGCACCTTTCCACAAGAGTCACAGCCAACCACATCTGAGAAGAGCTGGACAGCCTCTAATTTCACCTGCTTACATGTGGGAGATCAAACCAAAACCCAGATAAGAGCAGAACTTGCACCATGATGCTATTGGGCTACGTGCCAACAAGTGCAGCATAATCTCAAATTTTGGTTAAAAATACAATTATATGGCACTGAAAAAAGACATATACCCAAATGTTAATAAAAGTTACCCCCACCTAATGAGTTTACAAGAGGTTTTTGTTTCCTTCAAATGTTGTTTATAAGCACATAGTAGTCTTCTAATCAGAAAAAAATAAAATTTATTCTTTTTGGGAAAAAACATAAACATGGCTCAGTGGTTGAGCATCAACTCATTAACCAGGAGGTCACCGTTCGATTCCCAGTAGAGGGCATGCAAGAGGCAGCCAGTCAATGATTCTCTCTCAGCAGTGATGTTTCTATATCTTTCTCCCTCCCTCCTCCTCTCTCTGAAATCAACAAAAACATAAAAAACAACAACAAGAAATAAACACGTTAATGATAAATGAATTCTGAGAACCAGCTTTTACCCAAGTGCACCTGCCTGGACAGGCTTGTGCTCTTTTCCAGATGTTTTAACTTATTATTTTGGGAGATTCTAACATCAGTAGAAAATTAGGATCGAATAAAGTTTAATCCTCAGAACTCAATACAGAAATCTCTTCACTTTATTAATTTTAACTTTGTGATTTCTGTGAGTACTGTCACATTTTGCTGGTTGGTATGCAGTGAAATAAGCCAGCAATGCAATCTTGGTTTAAGATTCTCACAATCACAAAGAAATATAATCTCCTCTCCTTAGCCAAAGCTCACCAACCAACCTAGAAAGTAATAATAAGGCCACTGAGTCCTAACATTGCATACATTAACCTCATTTCTTGCCTATATGGTCAAGATATCCAAAGTCACTGTTTCTAGCTTCCCCTCTGCCCATGCTTTTGAGGATGCCGAGGATCAGTGAAGCAGGATATTAACAGTGAAGCAGGATATGTAAGTCCCAATGAAAACCCACAAGCTTTCACAGCCAAATCAGGAGCTCAGTGTTCAGTGTGCTGGGTTGCTGTCCGGGCTCAGGGCCTGTAAACAGCTGAGGCCCCATTCCCAGGGACCACTGAAGAATTCACCCCTCCACACCGACCTCAGAACCCTATCAATGTGCAGTGACACCCCCACAGAAAGACCAAGGGAGGAGGGGTCTTACCAGCGGTTTGACAGAGAGGCTTCCTTGCCGAATATATTCAATTGCAGCTTCAACTGAGGTCAGGCAGTATCCCAATTCATCTTTTGTCGAGTTGCTAAATCTGAAGTTTTTGATATAACTCAAATTTGCCATCCTAACAAAAGGAAAAAAAGGTTTTATCCTTGTACACAATTAACACTTGCAGAAACAAGGCTATTGGCTCAGGTGACTGAACTTGGCTAGCTCCAGGGAACACTGACTGCTAACCCCTCACTCTCTATTTTAGAGTGTGTGTAATTAGGAAAAGAAATAAAACTACTTGTTATTTTCCTGGAATAGGCTATTTTTAATTTTTATTTATTTTTTAAAGATTTTTAAAATTGATATTTAGAGAGAAAGGGAGGGAGAGGGAGGGAACATGTGAGAGCGAACCATGGATCAGCTGCCCCCTGCACGCTCCCTCCAGGGAATCGAGCCTGCAACCTGGGCATGAGCCCTGACTGAGAATTAAACCAGCAACCTTTCAGTGTACGGGATGATGCCCAACCAACTGGGCTGAAATAGGCTATTTTTTAGAAAGCTCATTATTGTAAAGTGAGCTGTGGGTTCCTATGGGAAGAAGATGAGCGTTGGGACCACACAGCTTCCTGCTCAGCCACTGACTAGCTGCATGTTCCAGAATGACAAACGTAAGCTCTCTGGACCTCAGTTTCCCATCTATAAATGGAAGGAGCGCCACCCACTGCCAAATGAAGGTGGAGCAGGCATAGCACCTGACTCATGAGAGGTGCTCACTTTCCTAGAGTTATACTAAAACTGCCATAGTATAGTACTGCCATTTGAAAAACGATTTTAACAAAAAATATTACCAATTAGGTATCTCTGTTTTCACAAGCAAATATAACAGGACCGATAGCAGATCATCAGCACACATAGTCTCCAAGTTAACTGCAAGGGGGAAACACGTTCAAAGTCATCATGAGACTCAAATGGACCAACAATCCTTTCAAGTCCTCACCACAATTCAACCCACAAAACCACAATCCAGTAAGATTACACGTCAGAGAGAAATTCAATTGCACAATTTCCTTTACAGTATCCTGAACAGATGTCAGATCCAAGGGGAACACAAAGGCCTAGCATTCCCAGAACATGTACAAGAGAAGGGAACTCCAAGCAAACCACCCCGCGCCACCTTCCTGGATGGGCAGATCCCAGGAGGTCAGTGACAGTGGACACAAGCGAAGGTGTGCCAGAGCCCCTGCTGAAAGCCTCCTTCCTCCTCAGGTCATTCCTGCTTTATGCACTGTGGAGCCAATGCTGAAAGCAGCCTATTTTTTTTTTAATCCTCACCCAAGGACATGCTTGTAGAGAGGAAAGTGTGCCACATACACTCCTGTTTATTTCATTTAATATACTTTTAAGATCATTCCCTATCTGTATACACAAATCTGCCTCATTACTTTTTTCTTGGCTTATTTTGTTTAACTTTTTATACTGAAAAATTTTAAACATATTCAAAACGAGTGCAAACAGTCTAAAGGACGCTTGAACCCCTATGTACCCATCACCAGCTTGGCTCATTTCTGAGGCTGCTGTTCCTCTGCCACCATTTTCTTACCACAGTCATGACACATCTACCCCCACCCCATTAGGAGGCACTCATTCATCAGCACAGACCCCAAGGCGCTCATGCTAGAAGGCTGGGCTGCACACACCAGCCCATCTGTATGGTCCTTTAAGACAGCACTGCTCCTTAACAGACTTCTGCTTCTGGGTGGATGCATCTACCCCCCCTGCCGGGCCCCTTCCCCAGCACAAACCTCTCTGGCTAGGAGACTGTGTAATGAGCTGCACCACCTTTCGCAAACAAACCAACTTCTGCTGTGGGGAGGTACATTTGTTCAGCTGAGCCAGTTCTCTCTTTGCACGAGGTATGTTGAAGCTGTAAAATAATTTGGCAAGTGACAACTTAAGAGCACAACATAAGGGCCCTTTTTCTCTGGTCTAATAATGTACCTCTGATTTACATTTCTTATAACAAACCATAGTAATGAAAAATAAAAATAGAAACCCAGAAGCCATCTCACTCAAGTCAGTGGCAAAACACAACAGCTTCAAATGTCTCATTCAGGCTGCCCAGTGACAGCAGCACCAGGAAATTAGAGGGGGAAAATCGAAAGTCCTTAGCCCCAGAATGAAATAGCCCAAAGGAAAAATAAGTAGTTTAAACATAACACTTCAGACATTTTTTTATCCTAATGAAACTTAAATTAATTCAGAAGTTGTCTCTTTGGCAGGGTTCCCTCGGATGGGCAGGCGAGGACAGAACCCACCTGGGTGAGCTATGTGCCCACCTAGAGACCAACTGTGGGAAATCACAGCCCCTTTAGCTCCTACCCAGGGGGCACGTGGGCAGACAGGTGCAGGAGGGTGACAGCTACAACACAGTCATCTGCCAACATCAGCACTTTATCTTTGGTCACAAATAACTGCACTGCTCCTCAGTATGAACCAAGTCAAATCAGCCTGCCGCCACTGCTGCCGAGGGCCCTGCCTCTGAGGATGCCGAGCTGCTGCAGTGCAAACCCTTACCTGAAATCAGGTTTCACACCAATATCTTTCTGCTGAAGATCTTGAAGGCTTCTTGTGATTTTGTTAAAGGCAGCATCCTAACAACAGATTTTAACGAAGCTTCAAATTTCCTAGAAAGCACAGAATAAGGCTTCCAACCTGGGTGATGGAGATTTAGAACCTACCTCACTTGCCTCCATGGTCCCCACATATTTAAAGATCAGATCATAAATATCGTGCTGGACGTACATCTGTGAAATCAACGAACCCCAGTTCAGGGTGTGTGTGGGGGCAGCAAGGAGAGTCGCAGCAGTGCCGCCTTCTCCCCTCACTGCCCTGGCCTCTTACCTCTACCGCCTGCTTCATCAGGTTCATCTGGGCCTCATGCCTGGCAAGCATCTTCTAGAAAACAAGGAAAGTACAGTAAAAGTGCTTGGCTTTGCATGTGGGCAGACTGCAATTCTCTCTTTTGAAAGTCCTGCTGCTTACCAGGTGAGAGTCCTTCAGAAGGTGCTGGAGGCATTTGGTGTAGAGCGCATTCACCGCGTCCTAAGTGACAGAGCAGAGAGACAGGCCATAACACAAAACCCAGACATGCAACATGTCCTGGAGTGAAGAGAACATTTTACAAAATGTGACAAACTTTAAGTGCTTATGCATGTTTATCAACTCAGTTATTTTTTTCAACTTTTTTTTTAGGTGTATATTCATTAAAAATAGAAATAAAATCCTTTTGGAGTTAAGATGCATATATATATATATATATATATATATATATATATATATATATATATGTATATATATGTATATGTATATATATGTATATGTATATGTAATATATCTTTATTGATTTCAGAGAGGAAGGGAGAGGGAAAGAGAGATAAAAACATCAATGAGAGAGAATCATTGACTGGCTGCCTCCTGCACATCCCCTAATGGGGATCAAGCCCCCAACCCAGGCATGTGCCCTTTACCAGAATCGAACCTGGGACCCTTCAGTCCGTAGAACAATGCTCTATCCATTGAGCCAAACCAGCTAGGGATATATATATTTATTTTAATCCTTACCAAAGGATATTTTTCCATTGATTTTTTTTTTTAAGAGTAGAGTGGAATGGGCGGGGAGAAAGAGAGAGAAACATTGATGTGAAAGAGACACATCGATTGGCTGCCTCCCACATGCACCCTGACTGGGGCTGGGGATAGAACCTGAAACCCAGGTACGTGCCCTTGACCGGGAATTGAACCCATGATCCTTTGGTGTGCAGGACAATTCTCTAACCACTGTGCACACTGTCCAGGGTGATAATAATTTTTACACTTCTCTGTGATTTTCAAGTTTTCTACAGTGGCTTGTACTACTTTTATAGTTAGAAATATTTCAAACAAATTTCCAACAGCGGAGGCAGCAAAGCTTCAGAGTAAACTGAGAGGGATTCTGGGCTCTAAACTGGCCTGAGACCAGGCATGCCTGGCAAAGCAAGACACAGGTACTGACTATGTGGTGACGGAGGCTCTTTCTTTCACATTCCCTGAATGTTCGCTGGAAAGAGGCGATGTTCTTGTCAAATCTCTCCGAGTGTCTTCCCAAAAACTCTCTCACATCTTCGATGGTTTTCAAGGAAAAGGTATCTGAGGGTGTTGGAGGCTCTTCTGAAAAAGAGACAGAGAGTCAGGATGGCTGAAGCTTTCACTGCTTCCCCAGGGTCTGGGCCCCACCTTCCAGGGGGAAGAGGAGGACGAACCTATTTCAAGATATTGCCCAAGGGCAGCCCAGTTACAGGACAACCCAGGGTTCAGAGAGCCTGGTCCTCTTGAGATCGTTTTCTGGGACAAAACCTGGACTATCTGGGATCTTGGGCATGACCTGTGTGGCTCTGGTGAAGAAGCCCTGATTCCTGAGAATAAAGCCTCAGACTGCATTTGGAAAATTGCTGCCTCAATTTCCTGGAGCAGCTGAAGAATTATTATTCATTAAAAATAATGAGATCTCAAAGAGGCACCACAGTGGGGCTGGGTGGTAATAATGCTATAAGAGCTAGCTCTAAAGCCGAGGCCCGAGACAAAGCCAGGGCTACCACTTTGCACAACTCTAGGGGACAACATCCACACTGAGGCCTATGTGAATACTGCCTCCTGGAACGGTCATGTCCAAACTGTGCAACCACATGCAGCAGCCCAGTCCACACCCTAGCTCGAGATAACCTTCTGATTAAATTCTATGGGGCAATTATATAAATAATTATGCAGTTTTCTAGTGGGCTCTTGAATATTTTATGGGATGTTTGTAATAGTTATGTCAGGAGGAAATTCAATAAATACATTGTTCCAAATCATGAGAAAGGGGTTTTCTTGCAGAATACCTGAACTCTCTCTCTTCTCCAAAGGATGGGCTATACACAGTAGGCTGAAACTTTCTTCTTTTTCATTGTAGAAAGTTTCTTCAAAGAGAATGGGCACTGAGAGAAGACAGGCGAAACCAGCTCCTAATTTAATCCTGTTTCCTTGTATAAAGACATCCTAGAATAAGAGAACCATCACTGCACCACTAACCAGTGGTGACCATCGACCCCTGACCATCGACCCCTCCGCCTGGACCCAATACAGTACTTTACCCAACCTGCCCCTCTTCGCTCCACTCTTGATTTTTTACACACACACACACACACACACACACACACACACACACACATTGATTTGTGGTTCCACTTATTTATGCACTCATTGGTTGATTCTTATATGTGCCCTGACTAGGGATCGAACCCACAAACTTGTTATATACGGATGATGCTCTAACTAATTGAGCTATGGCCATGGGAGGACTACTCTTTAATTTGCTTTTTGATACTAAAATGTTTTTCTTTCCTCTTTGTTCACTCTGTAGTTATGGCTACAGTAGTATCCTGATACTTTTTCTATTCTTTAAAATATATTTTTTGCCCTGACCGGTTTGGCTCAGTGGATAGAGCGTCGGCCTGTGGACTCAAGAGTCCCAGGTTCGATTCCGGTCAAGGGCATGTACCTTGGTTGCGGGCACATACCCAGTGGGGAGTGTGCAGGAGGCAGCTCATCGATGTTTCTCTCTCATCGATGTTTCTGACTCTCTCTATCCCTCTCCCTTCCTCTCTGTAAAAAAATCAATAAAATATATTTAAAAATAAAATAAAATAAAATATATTTTTACTTCAGAGAGGAAGACAGAAACATCAATGATGAGAGAGAATCATTGATCGGCTGCCTCCTGCACACCCTACACTGGGGATTGAGCCCAAGACCTGGGCATGTGCCCTGACCAGGAATCGAACCCATGACCTCCTGGTTCGTAGGTCCACGCTCAACCAGAGCCACACTGGATGGGCCCTGATCCTTTTTAAATGTTGTAACAAGAAGCACTAAGCTGTTCCTCAGAGTAGCAGAAACTACACCCTCCAGGAATGGAAGAGTAGGAAGGCTCTCCTATCTGAACAAAAGACCAAAGTGTCCGGTGTTCAGCTGGGATGGGGGTGGACAATGCTGCTGCAGTCCCCTTTGAGGCTCACCACTCTGGCCATGGCCAGGGAGCCCAGGGCAGACCCGCTGTGATAAGCCTGACTGCTCTGCTCTTTGTAGATCTGGGTACCCCAAAGAGAACAAAAGCTAAAAAGGGACTGGCAGCTGTGGTGAGCAGATCTCTGGCAGGAAAACAGTGGCATGCCTCGTGAGCCACTGGGCTGCTGACCCCAAGCCAGTGTCCAGGTCACCCCATGCCCCATCATTCCTCTTCCCCACACAGTGCCTACAGCTGCTGGGTTGGAGAGTCCTGACGAGGAATGGAACCTCCTGCTGTCAGAACCTACCTGCTTACACTTAAAAAATAAGAAAATGCATACTCCCAAGTTAGCACTGACTACGAGATAGATGGATATCATGTGCTCCCTGACGTGATACACTGAGAAAGATAAAATACCCTTTGGAAGCATTCCTACCAGAAACGATAACTGCTAATCTAATCATGAGGAAACATCCGAGGGCCCACATGGAGGGCGAGTCTCCAAAGCAAAACAGAAATGTCACTGTCATGAGAGACAAACTGAGGGCCTCTTGCAAAAGAAGAAAACTGAAAATGCATTCTGGGACCCTGGATCTGAAAGTGCAATTATTAGTGCAATTAGCATAGCTTGTATGAGAACAGGATGTTGGAGGACAGTACTCTATCAATGTTAAATTTTCTGAGTGTGATCACTGTGCTCTGGTTATGTAGGAAATACAGATGGAATTGTTTTGAAGTAAAGGGACATGGTTTATGAAACATTTTCTGAAAAAGGTTCAGAAAAAGTAATAGTAATGTATATTATGTATAGTGATAAAATAAATGTGGCCAAAATGTTAATAGTTCACCAATCTAGGTGAAGGGTATATGAGAGTTCTTTCTACTTTACTGAAACTTTCTGTAGGATTGAGATGATTTCAAAACAAAATTGGGTGTTTTTAAAAAATATATTTTTATTGATTTCAGAGAGAGGAAGGGAGAGAGAGAGGGAGAGGGAGAGAAGATAGAAACATCAGTGATGAGAGAGAATTATTGATTGGCTGCCTCTTACATGCCCCCTCCTGGGAGTCCACAACCTGGGCATGTGCCTTGACCAGGAATAAGGACCTCCTGGTTCATAGGTTGATGCTCAACCACTGAGCTATACCAGCTGGGCTCAAAACAAAGTTTTAAAAAAATTAAACTTCATCCCTGATCTCCAATTTGTGGCCAATGTCACAGGGATAAAATAGCTTGCTTTGCCAGGACCTCAAGGAAGAGATATCACTGGCAGGAAACCCATAGGCTGAGGAAGAGATGCCCAGCCAGCCCTGCTCAGCACTACCATCTCCTCTTTCCTCAAAGGCAGCGGGCCCTCCAACCCCATCCCACAGGGTGGCTGTGTTAAAGCCATCATTTAACATAGATGTGAAAGGGCGACAAGCAGGATTCTCTCCCCTCCAGCCCACCCAAATACTGAGTGAGTAACCCTGGTTGACCCACAAAGAAATGAATACCTTTCCATTTAAGGTCTGAAAGTGTTCTTCCACTGGTTTCAAAATATAGGACTCAAACTGACAAGTAGACTGAACATTGCTTGTCAGGCTTCCTTTGCAGGGAACTAAGACCTGGAAAAAAAATAATTAGGGTGAATACTAGAGAGATGTGTCATTTACAACTTCAGCAGAACAGGATGCATCACAAAATATTTCAGCTGGAGCTGTTGTGGGGACCTACTGCGGAGATAATGCCCAACACGGCAGCAGGTGATGCCAGCTGACTCACTCTGTTGTCGTTGTGATGGAGCCCAGTCAGAGGGAGGTAGCTCCCACCCTGTGGGGTCCCTCCCCACAGCTGGACTGGGTGCCCCACTCAGTCATCAACTGGCTCATGAACGGTTCCAGATGGAGAGAGGATAGTTTGGAAAGCACAGAAAAGTGACACTAAAAAGTCACATGTGTTCCCACACCTAAATGATAAACACTGCACATGAAGACAGTTTGCTTCCTATCTCCTTTCCGTGTTTGTTTTTAAGCCTAGTTATGATCACAGTTTGTAACACAAGTACAGAAACTCAGTTTCCCATCGCAGGCTGTCACCTCCACCAGAGATGTCTCAGCGTGCCAGAGCCTCGCTTTGGGGAAGGTGCAACTGGAAACCTGAATTTTTAGTCCAACGGTGGCTACCTCACTGACGAGACACCAGCTTCTCAGCTCAAAGCAGCACAGGAAGGAGCTTGACTCAACACTGCCTACTGCCCCGGCACATGGATCTGTGCTGGGCTCAGGGACCCCGTGTTTCAGAGGACTCTCAGACACAAGTGCACCCGGAAGGAAGATGACCCAAAGCAGCTAAGTCATTCAGAGCCCCATCTCCTGAAGCAGCCCAGCCAACAGCAAACGGCTCCTGCACTATCCCCACTGTGCAGAAGAGGAAACCGAGACTCAAAGGAGTGAAGTAACGTGCCCAGGGTCACACAGCCAGTAAGTGGCAGAGCCATGATTCCGACTCCTGCCGCCCTCTAACCGCGGGCCCATCTTACTGCCTCACGGAAGGACTGCCCAGAACAGCGGTTCTCAACCTGTGGGTCGCGACCCCTTTGGGGGTCAAACGACCCTTTCACAGGGGTCGCCTAAATACATCCTGCATATCAGATATTTACATTACGATTCATAACAGTAGCAAAATTACAGTTATGAAGTAGCAACAAAAATAATTTTATGGTTGGGGGTCACCACAACATGAGGAACTGGATGAAAGGGTCGCGGCATTAGGAAGGTTGAGAACCACTGGCCCAGAACCTCCTGCAGTTTCCTCTGCAAAGACACCATGGAACTCGGGAGCTCTGGGGGCAGGGGACCTCACGGGCTTCCTCAAGGAGTCAGAAAGAGCAGTGTGGCCTCTCTCCCCACGGAGACACACCAATCCCTCACAGCAGGAAAGGGAGGCACTGACTGAGGGAAGAACTCAAGCCTGTCTACAAGGTGGCCTTGCCCTGCCTCAAAAAATCAAGACTGAACCAGATCAAGATCTAGATTTAACCACCAATTTCAGGAAATACAGAGAACAGAGGGCCATGTTAAACACCACTATAGGACTGAAACTGGCAAAAGCCAGAATGCAGGAAGCTCTACAGAATAAGTGACCAAAGAAAAAGAAAATTAAAAGAAAAAATTAAAAAGAAACTCAAGATTGCACATTAAGTATGTGCAGTTTCGTGTACTTCAGTTTAGCTCAATAAAGTTAGGAGAAAAAGAGAGACTTATCAATTCAACATAATGTGTGGATCTCCTTTGAATCCTGATTTGAACAAACCAATTGTAAAACAAACAAAAAATATGAGAGATTTGGGAAATTTGAACAGGACTAGATATTAGACAATGTTGAAGAAATATTGAGACCCTAGCCCAGTGGTCGGCAAACTGCGGCTCGCGAGCCACATGTGGCTCTTTGGCCCCTTGAGTGTGGCTCTTCCACAAAATACCACGTGCGGGCGCCCATGTACAGTGCGATTGAAACTTTGTGGCCCATGCGCAGAAGTGCCTGTACATAGAGACATCCCCATCAAAGGAAGGCGTGGAAGGAAGGAAGACTGGAGGACGGGCTAGGGCAGTGGGGGAAGCAGCCAAGCTGCATTCTTAGGTGCTGTACACTTTGTGTGAGGATTAGGTGGCCTGCAAGCTTGGCTCACAGGGAGAGGTCTGAGGGGCAGTTAAGCCTAGGGGAGATACACATTTAAAAGTGGAAATATCACATTTTTAGAGCCTAATAAAGGATTCGAGGGCGGCCAAATTTGGCCCCATGACCAAGCCCCATGGAAATAAATTTAGCATTCACCTGCTGAGGCCACATGGATCCTTTAGAGATGGCAGAACGTTGCCTCTTCTAGAGGCAACTGGAATATTCTACTTTTCATTCAACCACCAGTTGTGGAGGGTGTATTATTATGCATTAGACAGGGATGAGCCTGTTCCCATCACCCGGCCATCAGGGGGCAGAAGCTAGCCAACAATATCTGACCCGCGGAGCAGGCCAGTTCTTTCCCAGCACTGCTGATTCCTGCTGAGAAGCTGGCCTCACTGATTCTGGAACTAAACAAGGCTGAGGAATTCAGTGCTGCCCAATGTGGGCTCTAAACAGCTCCCTGTGGATCTCATGGTTTTCAGGAGGGGCTGGAGTAAGCGGCCTAGGGTACCACTGGGAGCTTGGGATGGTACCGTTTAAGAAGAATCTCCCATTCCTCAGTGTACCTGAAAGGAAGGTGACCAAGATGCCAAAGTTCTTATTCAAAATTCCCCTCTCGCTAAAGTGAGCTTAAGTGTGATTCCACTACTTGCAGCTGGAAAAGTACCTACTGGATGACAAAGGAACTGTGCTAAGGGCTGGCAACACAGTGGTGAGCGAGACAGGTCACACAGAACTTACTGAAAAATAACAGCATTCCACTGTGTGGCATTTTTATTTTTATTTATTTTTTAATCCTCACCCGAGGATATGTTTTTATTGATTTTAGAGAGGGGGGAAGAAAGAGAAACACATTGATGTGAGAAACATCAATTGGTTGCCTCTTGCATGCTCCCCCACCTGGAATCGAACCTGCAACCTTTTGGTGTACAGGACGATGCCCCAACTGAGTCACCTGGCCAGGACCACAGTGTGGCATTTAAAATAAATAAATAAATAAATAAATAAATAAATAAATAAATAAATAAATAAATGTGTGTGTGTGTGTGTGTGTATTTTATTGACTTTTTACAGACAGGAAGGGAGAGGGATAGAGAGTTAGAAACATCGATGACAGAGAAACATCGATCAGCTGCCTCCTGCACACCTTCTACTGGGGATGTGCCCGCAACCAAGGTACATGCCCTTGACCAGAATTGAACCTGGGACCCTTCAGTCCACAGGCCGACGCTCTTTCCACTGAGCCAAACCAGTCAGGGCCACAGTGTGGCATTTTTAAAAAGCACGAGAAAGTTACATATGTTATCTAGACAATACTTATTTTTTAAAATATATGTTATTAATTTTTACTGAGAAGAAGGGAGAGGGATAGAGAGTTAGAAACATTGATTAGAGAGAAACATCGATCAGCTGCCTCCTGCACACTCCCTACTGGGTATGTGCCCACAACCAAGGTACATGCCCTTGACCAGAATTGAACCTGGGACCCTTGAGTCCACAGGCCGACGCTCTATCCACTGAGCCAAACCAGTTAGGGCTGGACAGTACGTATTAAATATCATAGAACAAAGATGGGAAGGAAATATTTCCCAAATTAGGTTAAGCTCTCCCAGTCAACACGATTGCTTTGCATCCTATACCTTTTCTCTGTGACACTTACCACAGCTACAATTCTAATAAATATATATTTAGAATATAACCATCTCTCCCACTAGAATTTAAGCTCCATAGGGTAAAGATGATGATGTATATTCATATATTTGGCTGACAAACATAGTGCCTTGCCTAGAGTAGCATTTAATAACTAGTGTGAAATGAAAAGATAACAATGAATGTCTTTGGTGAGCTTTCATGAGATTTTTATTTTCTTCTTTGGCAACAGCTGTATTCTCCAACTGTTTGTTTTTTTAATCTTTATTGTTGAGAGTATTACAAATGTCCCCCTTTTTCCTCCCATTGCCCCCTTCACCCGGGTCCCACCCCACCCCACCCCAGGCCTTCACCACCCTACTGTCTGTATTCATAGGTCATGCATATCTGTAATAATAAAAGCATAATATGCTAATTAGACTGAACAGCTAAACAGCGGAATGACCATCTGGACGACCTTCCCGACGAAGCCGCGACTGCGAGGGCCAAGCCCCTTGCACGAATTTTGTGCATCGGGCCTCTAGTATGCATATAAGATCTTTAATTAATCTCTCCTTGCTCCTCTCCCCTTCTCTCTGAGATTCGTTAGTCTGTTCTATGTTTCCATGCCTCTGGTTCTATTTTATTCATCAGTTTATTTTGTCCTTAGATTTCTTGTTCATTTGACTTTTAAATTCAGTTGTTGATAGATATGTATGTATTGCCATTTTATTATTCCTATTTTTGATTCTCCTCTCCCCGGCCCCCTTCTTCTTCTTCCTCTTCTTAAAGAATACCCCTCAACATTTCATGTAATACTGGTTTGGTGGTGATGAACTCCTTCAGCTTTTTCTTGTCTGTGAAGCTCTTTATCTGACCTTCAATTCTAAATGATAGCTTTGTTGGGTAGAGTAATCTTGCTATTCATCACTTTGAATATTTCTTGCCAGAATTATTCCCTTCCGGCCTGCAAAGTATCTGTTGAGAAATCAGCTGACAGTCGTATGGGCACTCCTTTGTAGGTAACTGACTGCTTTTCTCTGGCTGCTTTAAAGATTCTCTTTTTGTCTTTAATTCTTGGCATTTTAATTATAATGTGTCTTGGTGTGGGTCTCTTTGGGTTCCTCTTGTTTGGGATTCTCTGCCCTTGTAAGTCTATTTCTTTCACCAGGTAGGGAAGTTTTCTGTCATTATTTCTTCAAATAGTTTTTCAATATCTCTCTCTTCTCCTTCTGGCACCCCCATAATGTGAATGTTGGTATACTTGAAGTTGTCCCAGAGGCTCCTTACACTATCTTCATATTTTTGGATTCTTTTTGCCTTTTGCTCTTCTGAGTGGGTGTTTTTTGCTCCCTCATATTCCAAGTTGTTGATTTGATTCTCGGAATCCTCTATTCTCCTGTTGAATCCCTGTAAATTATTCTTTATTTCAGTTAGTATATGCTTAATTTCTGACTGGTCCTTTTTTATGTCTTTGACATTCTCACTATGATCCTTGAAAGTCTTACTAAGTCCATTGAAGCTCCCATTAATTCCCTTCAAACTCTCATTAAGATCCTTGAGTAACCTTATAACCATTGCTTTGAACTCTGTATCCAATAGTTTGCTTGCTTTCATTTCTTTTACTTGTGACATGTTTCTTTGTCTCCGCATTTTAGCTGCTTCTCTGTATTTGTTTCTCTATATTAGGTAGAGCCGCTATGTCTCCTGGAATTAGCCTTGTGTAGTAGGTGTCCTGTAGGGCCCAGTGACTCAGTTTTCCATCACCTGAGCTGGGCACTCTAGGTAGGCCCATGTGAGCATAGTCTTGTAGTTGAGCCTGATTGCTGTTTCCAACTGTTTTTTAAAAAAATATTTTTAAAATATGTTTTTATTTATTTCAGAGAAGAAGGGAGAGAGAGAGACAGAAACATCAATGATGAGAGAGAATCATCAATAGGCTGTGTCCTGCATGCCACTGGGGATAGAGCTCGAAACCCGAGCATGGGCCTCGACCAGGAATCAAACCATGACCTCCTGATTCATGGGTCAACACTCAATCACTGAGCTACACTGGCTGGGTTCTCCAACTGTTGTTTGTTTTTAAAATATGTTTTTATTGACTTCACAGAGGGAAAGGGAGAAAGAGAGAGAGATAGAAACATCAAGGATAAGAGAGAATCATCAATCGGCTGCCTCCTGCAGCCCCCCCAACAACCCCCACTGGGGATTGAGCTCGAAATCCAGGCATATGCCCTGACCAGGAATTGAACCAGTGATTTCCTGGTTCTTGGGTGGATGCTCAACCATTGAGCCATACTGGCTGGGCTCTCTAACTGTTTTTATAATGAACTTTATGACTTGTAAAATCCAGAATAAGCCCTAGCTGGTTTGGTTCAGTGGATAGAATGTCGGCCTGTGGATTGAAGGGTCCTAGGTTTGATTTCAGTCAAGGGCACATGCCCGGGTTGTGGGCTTAATCCCCAGTAGAGGGTGTGCAGGAGGCAGTCGATCAATGATTCTCTTTTATCATTGATGTTTCTATCTCTCTCTCCCTCTCCCTTCTTCTCAGAAATTATTAAAGATATATTAAAAAATAAAAATAGCCTTAACCGGTTTTGCTCAGTGGATAGAGCATCAGCCTTTGGACTGAGGGGTCCCAGGTTCGATTCCAGTCAAGGGCATGTACCTTGGTTGTGGGCACATCCCCAGTAGGGGGTGTGTAGGAGGCAGCTGATCGATGTTTCTCTCTCATTGATGTTTCTAACTCTCTATCCCTCTCCCTTCCTCTCTGTAAAAAATCAATAAAATATATATAAAAAAATAAATAAAAATAAAAATAAGCCCTAGCCAGTTTGGCTCAGTGGAAAGAGCATTGGCCTGAGGACTGAAGGGTTCCAGGTTCGATTCCAGCCAAGGGCACATGCCTGGGTTGCAGGCTCAATCCCCAGTGTGGGGCGTGCTGGAGGCAGCTGTTCTCATCGTTGATGTTTCTATCTTTCTCACCTTCTCCCTTCCTCTCTGAAAAAAAAGAAAAAAAGATACACACACACACACACACACACACACAATAAAAATTAAAAAAAACAGGATAAAATGTATCAATCACAAAACCAATCATAAAAATCGGAAGGGAGTTCAAGAAATCAGGCTTCTGATGGCACAGGGATGAACTGGGTGGTGTGGAAGTCAGTTCCAATTTTCCAGAGGGCAGCTGAGAACCTGACATCATTGGGCTAAAGTGACTTCTCCATTGGTTCAAATCCACAGCCTCCTGACATAACTGAGTAAAATCACACCCCGTGACAAGAAAAGTGGGAACATAGTATGAGAAGAGGACAACACACAGAAAGAAGACTCCTCAAGCACAGGACGGCACGGAGGCGCCCACACACTGTGTCCCGCTGTGTTGTGTAAGACAACCTCAGAACTGGACAGACCTGCAGCGTGAGGCCTGCCTTCTCGCCAGGCAACAGGGCCCCACAGACAGGCTACAGTCTCTCTTACACACTTCCCTCATTCCTGTTACCCGGCTGCCCGTGAAGGCGTTTGAGGTTGTGGCCCTATTATAAACATTCTTTCACCACAGTTCCTTCCCTGTAGGAAACGCCTTTGAAAGTGACATGGGAATGTGTTCACACGTTCTCTTACTCTATGGGAGTGAGGGCCCACCTCACACCAGGCCTCATGAGGCCCTGAGAAGGAATGTCATTTCTGTCCTCGATAGCCCTCATGGTCAACATGGAACAAAAGAAACAGAGGTGAACACCAGGAGACCTGTGTCCCCATGGGCTGAGAGTGCAGAGAAAACAGTACACCCTGGGTTGGTACTTGTTCCATACTGAGCACGGTCTGGGGCTTTTATACTGAGTAGGTTTGTAGCTGATTCCCTCTAAACTTAACCAAAGTCTACTATATTTCTGGCCTCGCCAGCACTGCTTGGTCCACAGCTAATGGGAAAGGACAATCCTCGGGGTTGATGCACTTACAATGCCATGAAGTTGGGCCACCTTGTTGCACAAGTCAGGACGCCACTTTTGAAGGGCCAGGTAGAAAGGATTTTTCAGGAGATCTTCATCATAAAGAGCCATATGGACTTCAGATGGGGCAAAGCGAGACTCCTGGGAAGGGAGGAAAAGGCAGTAAATGACCACCGTCGGATTCATAAAACACATGCAAGTCTGGATCTGGCAATTCCTAAAAATGATCCCTGATTCTAGTACTCTACTCTACACACCTAACACTCCAGCAGGAAATGTCAAAGATAACCCATCAATTCTAGGATGACGTTTTTTCACTGGTTAAATATATAAATTATGTTCAGGAAATTAAACTCCAAGTCATGGCAAATGTGAAAATGGCTCTTTTTAGACTATCCTACATGACTAAAATATTGACACTTTAGAGATATGCATGTATTTTTTTTTTAAATATATTTTATTGATTTTTTACAGAGAAGAAGGAAGAGGGACAGAGAGTCAGAAACATCGATGAGACAGATCGATCAGCTGCCTCCTGCACGCCCCCCACCGGGGATGTGCCCGCAACCAAGGCACATGCCCTTGACCGGAATCGAACCTGGGACCCTTGAGTCCGCAGGCCGACGCTCTATCCACTGAGCCAAACCGGTTCGGCATATATGCATGTATTTTTAATGAAATATTTTAAGCATACAGAAAAGTAAAAACACAAACTACCACCCAGAATTACCAACTCTTCTCACTTTGCCATATTTGCCTCAGACTTTAAGAAAGAGTATATCAGAACAGACTGGAACCCCCGCTGTGCCCGTCCTGATCCCATTCTCTCCTCCCCTTCCAGGGGCAACCATGATCCTGGAGTTGTTGTATATCATTCTTGTTTACATTATTATTCCTTATACTTATGCATTCATAAATAAACTAGAATATTATTTTATGTGGCTCAAAATTTACATAAATGGCATCACAGTATAAGTATTCTGGAACATATCCTTTTTAATCAACATTACATTTGCAAGTTCTATCCATGCTGATCCACACAGCTCATTCATTCAGATTTCTGTATAGTATTTTTAAATAAACATGACACAATTTATTTATCTAATATCCTATATTTAAGTTGTTTCTTCATATCTATTATTACAAACAATGCTGGAATGGACACTCTGTACCAGAGTACACATCTAGGAATGTTCCAAGGAGATGCTACAGGGCGGATCCACCTGCACCATCACCAGATGCTGGCAAGGCTGCTTTCTACTTCCCTGAAAAGTGTACAAGCACCCTCCTTCCACACATCACATCCTAGCCAACACTTCTTAGTATCATCAGATAACCTGTTTCTGCTAGTGTTTGAGTATAAATAGTATTTCACTGTTTTTATATTTTAATTTCGCTAATGAAGTTGAACATCATTTTCTTTTGTTCTATAAATTATCTTATCATGCCTTCTGCCCATTTTTCTAATGGGTTGTTGGCCTTGTTCTCAGGATTTATAGTTCTTTATATATCTGGATACTACTAAAAAATGCTGTAAATATCTTCTCTTAATCTGCAACTTGTCTTTTCATTTTTTCAAATGGGTGTTTTCAGAAATCAAAGTGTTTGATTTTTTTGTAAATAAAAAAAATTTTTTTGTTGTTAATCTCACCCAAGGATATTTTTTCATTGATTTTTAGAGAGAGTGGAAGGGAGAGAGACAGAGAGAGAAACATCTATGTGAGAGAGACACATCAATTGGTTGCCTCTTGCATGTGCCCTGACCAGGGCTGGGGATTAAGGTACATGCCCTTGACTAGAATCGAACCTGGGACCCTTTAGTGTGTGGGCCAATGCTCTATCTACTAAGCCAAAGGTGTCAAAGTGTTTGATTTTTTTTTTTTTAATTGGCAGCGGGAAGGGCACCAGGTGTCTGACTGGTGGGTCAGACCAAACCTGGGTTCAGCAACCTCAGTACTTGGGTTCTGGCTAGGAAAGAATTCAGAGCAAGACCCAAACTGTAAGAGAACATTTATTTGGTAAATTACAGAGATAGAAGAAGTAGTTTGTAGAAGAAATAAAGAAAGGGCCCTTGGAGCTTGGGTAAAGTGCCTGGGGAAGGCGGAGGGGCGGGGCAGGGGGGGAGGGAAAGGCACTGGCTTCTCTCTGGAGGGAGAGCACCACCGAAGTATTTGATTTTAATGTAGTTGAACTTGTTAATCTTTGCCTTAACAGTCAGAGCTTTTTGGATTTTAGGGAATCCTATAATCTGGCATGTCTCTTTGCAAAGTGACTTAACCATTCCCCCAGTCAGAAAGTGGTGTCTTGCTGTAACCGGTTTGGCTCAGTGGATAGAGCGTCAGCCTGCGGACTCAAGGGTCCCAGGTTCGATTCCGGTAAAGGGCACGTACCTTGGTTGCGGGCACATCCCCAGTAGGGGGTGTGCAGGAGGCAGCTGATTGATGCTTCTCTCTCATGGATGTTTCTAACTCTCTATCCCTCTCCCTTCCTCTCTGTAAAAAATCAATAAAATATATTTAAAGAAAAACAAAACACGATACAGCCTCTTTAAAAAAAAAAAAAGTGGTGTCTACTTCCTCACCCCTTGAATCTGACTCAGCCCATGAATTGCTTTAACCAACCAACAAACAGAATTGATACTCTGTGATTTCTGAGTGTTGACCTCAACAGGCCTTGCAGAGTCCATTCGCATTCTCTTGGTGCCCTGAGTCTACCATGCTATGAAGAAGCCCATGGGATGAAAGACCATCAAAGAAGACAGAAGCCCAGGTGGTCCAGAGAGCACAGTCATCCCACCAGCCGAAGAATCACCTGCCACCCCACGGAACAGTAGGAAGTAATAAACTGTGGCAGTTTTAAGCTACTAAGTTTTGGGTTGATCTGTTAGCAGCAAAGGCTATCACTGAAACCACATCCTTTCCAACACCCAGGCCATAAAAATAGTCCCAATAATTTCTAAGAATCTTAAAAATATTTTCATTTTTAGGTGGTCTTTATATTTATGTTATAAATCAGACCTCTAATTTTTTTCCATATGGCAAATTGTCAGTCTGTTTGGGATGCTATGACAGAATATCGTAGACTAAGTGGCTTAAACAACAAAAATTTATTTCTCACAGCTTTGGAGGCTAGGAAGTCCAAGATCAAAGTGCCAACAGATTTGGTTCTTGATGAGGGCCCACTTCTTGGATTGTAGACGTTCTCACTGTATTCTCACATGATGGAGAGAGAGAGTACTCCTGTCTCTTTCTCTTTTTATAAGGGCATTAATTTCATCATGAAAGCCTTACTCTTATATCCTTACTTAACACTAATTAGACCCCAATGTCCCACCTCCAAATACCATCATATTAAGGATAGGGCTTCAACATATAAATGTGTGTGTGTGTGTGTGTGTGTGTGTGTGTGTCTGTGGACGAATGACATAACAATAAGCCAACTGTTTTTTTAAAAAATGTTTTTATTTTATTTTTTTATTTTTAAAGAGAGAGGAAAAGACAGAGAGAAACATCGATGTGAGAGTGTAACAGTGATCGGCTGCCTCCTGCATGCTCCCTACGAGGGATCAAGCGTGCAATCTGGGCTACCTTTCAGTGCACAGGACAATGCCTAACCAACTGAGCCACACTGGCCAGGGCCCCATCATTGTTTTTTAAATAGTCTATTCCTTTCACATGGCTGATAATGCTACTTTTGCCATACTCCACGTTCCCATACATGTTTAGTCTGTTTCTAGGCTCTACTCTGTTTCAATGGTCCAGACCAGTGCTGTCCAACAGATATATGTAGGAAATATAATAACATACATATTATGCATAGTTACATATGTAATTTAAAATTTTCTAGTAGCCACATAAAGGAAAAGGGGAAATTAATTTTAATAATATATTTTATTTATCCTAATATATTCAAAATATTACATTTTCAACATGTGATCAATATTTTAAAATTAAAGATATATTTTACATTACTTTTTTACCCCTACTAAGTCTTCAAAATCTGGTGTGTATTTTACATTTATAGCACTTCTCAGTTCATACTAGCCACATGTGCTTAATAGCAACATGTGGCTAGTGGCTATTATATTGGACAGAGCAGGGCCACATTATGTTATGAATACAGCTTCACAATCTGCCTTGATATCTCAAAGAGAAAGGCCTCTCTTCTTGTTCTCCAAAACTGCCTGGTTATTCCCAATTCTTTGCAATGTCACACGAATTAGAATCAGCTTGTCAATTCTATGAAAAATCCTGTTGGGATTTTTATTGGAACTACTGAATTTGCAGACAAGAGAGTCAACATCTTTATAGTAATCTTATTATCCATGAACATGGTATGGTATGTCTTTCCATGTACATCTTCTTCTATGTCGTACAATTAACTTTTCTCTGTAAAGACCATATATAGCCCAGCCGGTGTGGCTCGGTGGTTGAGCATCGACTTATGAACCAAGAGGTCAGAGTTAGATTCCCGGTCAGGGCACATGCCCAGATTACATGCTTGATCCTCAGTAGGGGGCATGCAGGAGGCAGCCGATCAATGATTCCCTCTCATCATTGATGTTTCTCTCTCTCTTCCCCTTCCTCTCTGAAATCTATAAAAATATTATAAAAATAGCATATATAACTTTTATTAGATGTTATTTATATATTCTGTATAAATTTGTTCTTTTTATGAATGGGATCTCCATTGCCCCTGGTTTGTGGTTTTTACTGAGCTCTCAGAGAGGAATATGAAAAATGGGCACAGAAAAGGAGTTAGAGTTCTAGCCATGTCACGTACCTCTTGAGTCTCCATCTCACTCTGTGCAATGGAGAATACAAATATCTTTCTTACAGGATTTCCATTTACATCCCTCCCTCATCACTTTTGCCATACTGCATACCAATGTACCACCACTTACTGCTAGCCCACATGGTCCCTTTGTGAGAATTAAAAAGGGGTACCAGGGCACATGGCTTGAAAAACAGCTAATAGGCTACCTATCAGCCCGTTTCCCACAGTGCCCCTCTCTCGAGCAGGGCACCTTTGCAATAAATAACCTGCACGTTGTACACAACAGCTCTATTGTTAATGTTTGACATTTTCCTTTAAAAACCTACTCCCTTTAAAAATTTTATTTAATTAAAATTTATTTTAAA